TTTCCTGTATTAGAAAAGCCTTCGAAGGAAAGCAATACTGCACCGGTGTATTTTTGGACATCTCTCAAGCTTTTGACAAAGTTTGGCATGATGGCCTTATATACAAACTAAAGGTTTCACTCCCTGCAAATACGCATGCAATTCTGGAAAGCTTTCTGCTGGGGAGAAACTTCAGAATCAGGCAAATTTCCTTTACAACGGAAAGTCACGCAATATATGAAGGTGTCCCTCAAGGCAGTGTTCTAGGACCCATATTGTACGTAATATACACTCGTGATTTGCCAACTGATGAAGTCTAACCATTTCAACGTTTGCTGATGACACAGCTATCCTAATCAATAGTTCAGACCCTAAAGAGGCTTCTTACAAGCTGCAAGAATATTTGAAAAAGTTAGAGCTATGGCTAGGTTCTTGGAGGATAAACAACAGACAACATTTACTTTGGAGAAAGAAAATTGCCACCACTAAAAATAAACAGCAACGCTATACCACAAAAAGATAGTGTCAAATACCTTAGGATGACACTAGATAGAAAACTTACCTGGCAAAAGCATATAGAAAACAAAATTTCTCAAGCGAAACTAAAACAAGCAAGCCTTCAATGGATTATAGGACACAAATCTAAATTTTACGCGCCACATGTGGAGCACCGTGGTACATAAAAAATACGAATATCCACAAAGATCTCAATGCAAATACGGTGCATGAGGACATACGAGTGGTTCAGAACTCAATTGTAGTGCGACTTAAATCAAATTATTATCAATATTATTGTATTGAGATAAAGAAAAAAACAAGCCCTCCTCTGTCTGTGCCCCTCTTTATACAACTATCGGTTTGTCATAAGTTAGTTGGCCAAATGTTCATGCAAATGTACATACATTTTGGATGGTTTACATTATTATGATAATATATGTATGTATTTTCGACTGCTCTAACGACTTGTACAGAAGTTTGTATTAGGTACATATATATATATGAAATAGATATGAAAAAATTTCACAAATATACATTCGAAACTGCAAATATGTTTGTAACCTCACATTCAAGGTTTAATATGCCGACAAGTGTTCACAAAGTTCTTATCCACGGATCAGAGGTTATGAAGCATGCATTTCTACCTATTGGTCAGCTAGGAGAGGAAGCACAAGAAGCAAAAAATAAGAATTTTAAATTCATAAGAGAACACAGAAGTAGAAAAGATAGTGCAAAGCATACTAATGTCGATATTTTAAACTATTTTTTGCTATCATCAGATCCTATAATATCTGAATTAAGTTTACAAAGAAAATGCAGTAAAAAGAAAAAACTGGAGCCAGATGCGATGAATCGGCTTAAAGCGCCACACGCTGAATTACTTAATGAAATTGATAGGACAAACTAGTACCGCTACTGCCTCCAGGTTTTTTCTTAAACTATGTACATTTCTTCATCATCGTATTATAAAATAGTCCCCTGAACTGTTTTCACTTCTATGTTCCCTTACTGATATAAAGAACTTTTATTTTTCTGCTTGAGCTACTCTCTTAGTAGCCCAACAGAATTTAAGGTTGTGGTTTTTAAAGTCTTCGATCCACAAAAATATATGAAGTTGGGGACACTTATTTTCATACTAAACTATAAACTTAAATGTAGAAAATAGGTTGCTACATGTTTAAAAATTAAAAATATCTTTTTTGAAATAAAACCAATATTATGAAAAACAAACTTTACTGCATGATACAAAAAAGAAGGTAGTTTCAATAAACAACTTTTTGATTAAAAAGCAGATTTTTGACAATTGCTCAGTTGTGAAAAATTCGAAGCGGCGTTACCCAATTGTAAGTTTTTTGGTTGTGGGAGATTTTATATCCTAAATTTGGGATTCCAAATAAAATAGTTGTGTTAATATTTACCTTTTAAAAATAATTAATATCTTATCTTAAAAACGTTTAAATTTTACATTAAATTCGATAACAACTTGCCAAATCATTATTTTAATATTAATACAATTAGTGAACATATTTTAAAATTTTTTCACAATGTAGTTTTCTATATCTGATACGATGATTCTGATATAATTCAAATGAAATTATACATTTCGACGTGTTATTTAATACATATTGTCTTTGTCCATTTAACAGCAAATGGAATTTACTTTGGGAGCCATGGCCGCCAAATTTTTCCAGCAACACATTGTTTTCAGATGAAATTTTGACACACCCAAAAGTGAAGTATAAAATATATCCTATCTTATTATATATTTCTTAGCTTTTCTACATTCTGAGAAGTTGAGAGAATGAAGTCTAATGTTCGTTTTTGGTCAACTACGACGTTTGATTTAATTTTTTGCAATCATTAGTTCATTTCCCTTGAGGTGTCACAATGCCCATACCGGCTATACCGATTTTTTTTAAATTTCGGACACAAATCTTCCAAGAATGGTTATAGGCTAAAACAAACCCGATATCTAAAGGGGGTGTGGAACCTCCCATACAAATCGAATTTTTCGTAGTGCATATCTCTGGAAGTATTTATGGTAGAGTTCTGGAACTTGGTATGGATATATGTATGTGTATGAAGTCAATCTCAAGCTCATGGAAAAATATGGGTTTATTGGAAAATGCAGCGTGCCACCGTAGAACTTGGAATAGAGGTAAATGAAATCAATCCAAAACCTATGAAAAATGGGGTTATATGAAAACGATCTCGTAGCCAGCTACGAAAGCTGGTGGTATAAGTCATATAAACTAAAATTCTGGTGACGCATAGATACCTCTGGAAGCATTTGCAATGGAAATATGTACAGAAAAACGGGCGCGACACCTTCTGGAAAGTAACACGATCACAGGGTGTATCCCTAGAACCATGTTAAGCTAAACCTTGAGGGATTACGTTACTATAAACTGTCAATTTTCACACAATTTAAAATGTACTTGTGTATTTAAAAATATAATGAAAATTGTGTTGCTAGCTTCATTTTGCAAAAATGTTGCAAGCTTTTTCACAGCGTGAACAGAATGCTACTTTGCTGAGGAAATGTTGTGGAATTTCACACTTATTTCACAGAAAGAAATTTTATATCCAATTTAACAGCTTTTTCACGTGAAATAGGAATAAAATACTATGCTTAAGAACAAAGATTTTTAAATCGACAAAAAATTAATAAGAAAATTTGAAGGATTTTAGATATTGGGTATGATGGTAGCACAAAATGTCACAATCTGCTTAATTGTCAGGTTGTTAATATGACGACGAAAAAGTGACAATGGAAATACCTTGTTTTATGTGGGCGTTGGAAAAACGTAAAAATGTGCTTAATACTTGGAAGTTCATGTATGGTTAACAAAACATAAAAATACATTCATTTAGTGCCAAATTCAGTACAAAAATCTGTAGTTAACTACCGATTCTGAGTTAAATACGCACTGTGAATTATTCTCTCGGAAATATTATTAAAACCGATATTGTAACATAACTTTAAAATTCTGACTGGGTGGCAACCCGAAAATATGTATGGATTAAAACACGCCAGATTACCTTTCATTTGACACTGATATTGTCATATTTTTTATAATTTTACGGAAAGTGAATCTTATCCATTTCTTGTGGCCATAGTTTAGGCTATAACTCTGGTACCGGTAGAGGTATCGAAGCAAGACTTAGCTTCAAATGTGCCCCTTCTAAAGTAGATTACTATGTTTGAGAATAATCCGCCATGGTTTGCAGGAGATACGAATTTTGTCATGCTAGATGTGAGCTCTGAACCACTGTGCATTGCCGCAGAAATTTTAAATTTAATGGTAGTTTGTAATAGACGGCATACACCGTGCGTCTGACTCGTGAGTCGGTTTGGATGAGTTTGTGAAAATAAGTATGTGTTAGTTACACCGACATGACTCCTGGCATGACTCTGAATGATTCAACTGGGGATAGTCGAAGGGGAGTCAACACGTATACAAATGACTCGCGAGTCAGACGCACTGGGTATGTCGCCTATAAGATTTGAAAACTTATTGTTAGTTTCGAAAGAAAGATTCAATAAATAAATACATAAAGGTGTGAAACTTATAAACATTTTTCTTATTTTTTTCACTATTCTATACGCTGTGGTGTAGTGGTTAGCAGTGCGCGCGCGCTACCACTCCGCAGGGCCTAGGTTCAAGCCCTGGTCAAAACGGTAGGTCCCTCCGCGTTGTGTGACAACATCAAGGCGCACGCCACAAATCGGAGGAGAAGCTCGGCCAAACACTATCATATGTGCAAGCGCTAATCTATTATTATTATTCTATCCGAAAATGTTTGTTTACTTCCCACAATCTCGTTATATTGAGGTTTTCCTGTAAAAAATGTCTTCTTTATTGTCGCTGTAACCGCCTTAGTGATTTTGGCCGAATTCAAAACAGCACGCCAGTCGTTTCTCTTCTGTGCCAACTGACGCCAATTGGAAATTCCAAGTGAAGCCAAGTCCTTCTCCACCCGATCTTTACAAAAAATTTACATTTATTCATTTATTTGGGGTATTCAGCCTGCCTGGTTATCAAGTTATCTGGTTATGTGGTTATACATTTTTTACTCAGTTTACAACAAAAAACACTAGAGAATAATAATTTTTAACCAGACAACCTCATAACCAGGCAGGTGGGAATATCCCAATTACAACAATAATAATTTTACAATATCTGATATATTACTAAATACATATGTGCATATAAAGTATATGTGTATGAGAGTACAACGTTATGTTCATGATGAGATTGTAAAGTTTATCCATCTTCTAAATTACTAGTGTTTTCATTGGCCGTCATAGCGAATGTTTCCTTAAAGTGATAGTTGAATTCGACTGGTTTTTGCCAGAACGCGTACACAATAGCTAATCTGCCGAACAGAGCCAAAAGCAATGTAAAGATAACATTCATCTGTAAAATAAATTTGTAGAAAAATTACATCAACCTACTCGATTTTGTGTAAATATTGTTTCAGGCAAATAGTAAATTTCTTCGGGCACATTCCTTCATTTCAGACTTTTCACCTACAAAACACCGCTCTTAACCATGAACTGATGTTTGTAGAGCAACAGCAGCAGATAAAGCATAAACTCGCCACCATCTACGACAATTACCTGCAGAAAGACGAGCGCAGCGGTGATTCGGACCAGCCTCAAGCTACTGTTGAACAGATACGTAACATTGCCGGCAAAGGTTTCGACATATCGCGCATCATCAGTGTAATCGACACATTCGCGCTCGCGCAACGCATTCAACCCACAGCAGAACAGCACCAGATATGCCAACGACACATTAGCAACCCACAATATGCCTTTTTGCGCAATTTCGAAACACACAACCTAAACGCATTCATCATCACAGATTTGGTGCTAAATTTGCCTTTCAATCGAGAAATCACCTCGAATGTGTTGATGGTCATACGGCGGCAACAACAATTAAACATTGGCAGTATGTCGGGCTCATTTAGGGGTGGCGGTGATAGTGTCACCACTGGCAACAACACCAACACCAAGTCGCAGTTGTATAAGGACATAGGCGCTTTGGCATTGTTGGAAAATCTCAGCGAGTGTTTACAATCTTTAGAGCAACAGCGGCTGTCGCAGTTGTTATACGATAACCATTATTCACTAAAACCACGCAAATTGATGGTGGAGCTGCATCGGGAGCGTGCCTTTAACACCGTCTTTCACAAAGCACCCAGCGAAATTGGGCACAACGATGACTTGAAAGCACATGTTGCACTCTTTCATGATCTTCGGTCGAAATGTAATTACTATCAGCGCTTCATTAGCTACATGCAACAGCTTGCGAAGTTGGTGCAATTGCGCGATCGTAATCTGGAGTATCATTCGAGCGCACTCCTAAAGATCAACGTATGTGATATTATTGGCGAGTTGATATTTGAATGTAATATGACACCACTGGAGATCGAGGGAAATGTCTCCGCACTAAATTTGAATTTAGTACATGTTATAGCGCTTAATGTTTGTCCCGAAATAGCCGGTAAATGTGAAGGCAGCGGCGGCGGGCAAGCTATATGGCGCAAAATCTCTACCCAGAAGGCGGAAAACATACTCAATTACGTGGCAAATCAAAACTGTCTGCTCGCACGTCTCTTACAGGGTGTTATTAATGCAGCTGGTGTGTCATTACCAGGAATTAATTTGGATATGCGTCACTTGGAGTGTCTGCTGGAGTTGGAAGAAATTGAGTGCATAGCGATGTTATTTGGTGGCAATAAATTCGTGGCCGCCCTGCGCTCTGATTATGATCCCAGCAATGTAGTAGAGAAGGTTGCATCAAAATTGACCCAGTTGGACTTGTTGACTCTCGAATTTGGATACCAGCCCAAGGAGTTACAGCAAACGCGTATCGATCAGTTGCTACTGAAACTTATCGACGAGGACGCAAAAAATATTCAGTGGGCTGGCCGCATACACGACGTTGGTCTACGCGCTAAACTTATACAAGCAAATTTCACGAAGATTCCCACAACGAGGCTTGCCAAGGAATTGATCGAGAACACACTGCAAAACAAGCAAGCTGCGACACGTATACCAGTCGCGTTGCGTCATCAACTGGAGGAGACATTGGCTGATATCACCATTTATGCGAAAGTGTCTGAGGTGCTGCAATTTGAGACGTGGCCACAAGCGTACGACTTCGGCATGAAAACCCCAACTGCGATATTTGAGAAGTTACTACAATCACATTTGTACAAATTGTGTTACAATTGGTGCTGCGTGGTCAAGTTTACTGAGCGCTTCGCTGCACAAAAGCATCGTTTTCTGGATGTGCTGCTCTACGCGTTGCTGGAATCGCACGACGATGTCGCCGGCAGTAGCGGCGCTGGCGAGGGCGAAATGAACCAATACTTACTGCAGATACTCGAAACATTTCCCGCTACTGATGTTGTTAAATTTCTGGACACAAACAAAGACAAGTTCCGCTCGGTTTATCTAATGAGTTACGCTATTGACTATTTGTCACGCTGCAATCCGAGCGAATATAAAAGCTATCGAAATTATAAAATTTCTTTAGTGATTTTTGAACAGCTAACGCCCAGAGAACTTGCTCCGTTCTGGAAACTATTCAAATACCCACTGCTGATTATTGAACAATTGGTGATGAACACCAAGTTCGAGACACTAACTAAAGTGCTGGCGGCAGTGAGGCGGGCGCTTTCGCAGGTGGATTCCGCTGGTGCGCAGGTGTGCTCCTTTTGCTTCGACAAACGCGGCCACATTTATGACATACACACGCGCAGTCCTAATGCACCTCATAAAGTAAAGTTCCATTTGGGCAAAGACACCGGCCACACGACGAACTCTGCATTTATTTTACTCAATTTCAACCTGTACCAGAAGAATCATGTAATCACTAATGAGTGCATTGATTTGCTGCTCCGAATCTACGGCACCAAGGCGCTGGACTATCATGTATCCGACATAACCTCCTCATCGGAGCGCATTTCACAGACCACAGATATGCAACAATCGCTAGATTCGCTGTGCGGCGCTTTCCAAATGCCGCCGATGGCTCCGACTCGTGACGATTGGGTACGCGATGATGATGCTACCCACTGCATGTGCTGTCATCGCGCTGCCTTTACTATGCTTATGCGCCGCCATCACTGTCGGCGATGCGGGCGTGTTGTATGTTTTGCTTGTTCGGCGCATCGCATGTGCATACCGGAACTGTACGATGACGTGGAGGTGCGCGTTTGCAACGACTGTTTCAACAAAACTGAAGAGGAACAGCGTAAGCGGGCACAGGATATGGATGCCGAAACGAAAGGCGAGGGCGCTGCGTCTAGCAAGGGACCACGCGTGCGTGAAAACGATGCTTACAAGTGGCAGCTATGTGGCAACATTACGCACGATAAGCTGTTGCGCGAAGAGTTTTGCTACGAACATGCGCCTAGCGTGGCGTTATGTCTGTCCATACTCGCATTTCATCAGGGACAGCAAAAGTGTGTCGACCTGTTACTGTATCACTGCCACAAATTGGAAAAGTTATTCGTACCGAATCCGGAGGTAGACTACGAGTTGGTGGCAAAAATGATGAACTGTCTCGCATTGGCTGCTAAGGTAAACATTTAATGAGTGATTTATGCCAAATATTTGAAACTTGTTTTTATCATTTGTAGGTGCGTGGCGGCCCACCTGAAATCGAAACTATACGCGAACATTCGGCGATCATAATGTCTGTGGTTCAAAATGGTTGCGAGGCGCTAATACCGCCAGGTCCTCTGAACAATCATAGTCTGCGCAAACTAGGCGACTCGTTGGTGCAAGCCGAAAAGTGGGATTTAGCATTCGAAGTGCATCTTAAATGTGGATTTCCCACAGCCGGAGTTATGGCTGCTCATGGCTTATCGTGTTTGCGAGCTGGTTGTTTCGATACAGGTAAGCTATTTCGATGCAATGTATGTACATAATATGTAAATGTTAAAGTAAATAAATGTTTGCTTTGCCCTAAAAACTTACTAGCGGCATTAGAAAAACACACTTTATTGCGTCGCGAAGTATATGTAAATAAACATTTCAACAAATTACAATGAAGCACTAAACAGATTCTTCCGTTTCGTTTTTAAATACATACCGCTTATTTATTAAAATACTGTCACTACCAGAAAGCTGTACTTTTGAGATAATAATGCAGATTAAGCTTCATCTTTGTACATCCCGGTTGAGAGGAGAATGCGTTTCACTATTTCATTCATTTTGGGAGTAAATTGTAAACCTTGAACGCGTCTGCTGGCAATCTATTAATCACGTAACAACTCATTCTAAACATTTTTACTCCTCTCCCCCCTATTAGTGATGCATGGTGATTTTGTAAAGATTTTTTATGTTTCACCTGTATATAATCAAATCTTAAGCAACTTCGCGATGCACTAGAAACTTTAAACTTATGGTTACATGTGTGTATCTTGGTAACCGCTGCACTAATTTCTTCCAAACTTGGCACAGTTGTTGGCCTTGGTACAGCATACTAAATGGCCGAAAATTTAAAAAATCGGACAATAACCACGACCACATCCCATATAACGGTAATTTAGAGAAATACAAAATCTTCGATAAATGAGGAAATTATAAAGCTAATTTATTGAAAATTGATGCTTGCAACAATTCTTTACCAAAAAATACGTTTATGGTAAAATTTGGGAAAATGGGCGTGGCACCGCCCACTTATGATCACATATATGTATATCGGTAACCGTGTTACCAATTTGTACCAAACTCGGTATTTTGATTGTGCTTCCCACATAAAAGCAAAACGTTGAAAAGTATTGAAATCGGACTAAAATTACGGCCGCTTTTCATATAACGGTAAATTTCAGAAATGCTTGAAACTGCAATATTTCGAAATTTAAGGACGCTAATTTACTCAAAATTGATACACCCCGGGTTACCAACTAGCTACATATTTTTGCATTGGTCAATGCAAAAGTTCTTATAAGCCGTCGCGAAGCAAGCCAGGCATTTGCTAGTCGCAAATAAAATTTATTTTTAATTTTAACGACAGTCCAATCACAAACCAAATAGATTCCTTAATTAAAAGCGGATGAAAAACCAAAAAATATTTTAAATCACGCAACCCTGGTGCGTTCTTAGCAGAGCAATTTCCCTTTCTTCTTTGCTTCGGAAAATGTACCGTCTCATAGTTCCCGCTATAGGTCCGATTCCACTGTTCCTCTGGCTAGTGCTTTGTGTAGCCCTGCGGCTGGAGTATTGAACAAAGCTTCGCGGATGGTTCTGAAACTCCCTCTCTCGCTTAGACTATGTGATTTCTGACCTTATTGAATAGCGGTGGGAAAGAGGCAATTGGCGAAGATTTTTAGTACATTAATATACATAAATATATTTTCCTCTTCCGAGTTTTTGGAGTTTAAGGTAATATTCAAAATATTACTTTTGAAGTAACATTTAGACCAAAAGGGAAAGGACTTGCTCACATGGCTGTTCCAATTGACGTCAGTTGGCACAGAAGAGTCGCTTCTCTTCGTTGGACTCGGCCAAAACCGCGGTTACAGGCGGTCAAAGCGCTCAATAAGAAGAAAAAGTAGCATTTAATTAAACACAAAATATATGCATATTCAAATTTCCAGAACTGTTTCTAATGTGTTCCACAATCAGAAAACTGGGCATGAATCACGTAACTTTGAAACGATAGTCGTTCAAACGATACTGACTAAACGATGTTGTCAAAACACTTATTCATGTATTTGTGTTGCTGTTACTGTTACGTGAAGCAAAATTGGAATCGAGTTGACGATATCGCACAAACGATTAAACATTTTTTGGTTTTCATGAAGCAAAACAATCTCAACACGATATCGTCCAGACGATTGTCGTCATACGTGACTCATACCCAGGCTATTGTCTCTTCAGCCGATTAACACATCTGCTTTTTAGTTACGTGTCCTTATTATCTTGTGCCCTTAAAAAAATATTATTCATATAACATTTATTTTAATACACTATGTTTTTAGCTCGCGAGAAATTTTCCCATTGCATGACGAAGTTGAGTGGCGAATATATGAATGAGAAAATCTGCAAATACATTATGTCTGCATCCACTGAAACGGATAACAACGATAATCCCTTGGAATGGTGCCAGAATCATGATTTTCAAGTATCTAAGCGACCACAACGCGGTCCGCCGCTACTACAGGAAATAGTGAAGACCATAGAGAACACGCCATGCCTTAAACCACAACCGGAAACACTGAAGCGTGCTTCACTCATTCGAAGCTCGAATACGTCACTTGCATCATTGTTGTCGCGTCGCAAAGATCCCTGCCCGATACGCATACATGAGCCCGCGCTGGGTATACTCACCACACTGGCCAATCTGAAACACATCGCCAAGGGCCAGTATGCTGATGTGCACAGCAATCTTAGTGGTATGCACGCGAATTTGGACAACAGGTCACGTCAGTACTTGCAGCATACACGCGGCTTTGAAGAATGTCTTCACTACGTGTTAACTTACGGATCGCACACCGATGTGATGCAATTCCTAATGCGACACCATGAACTCAACGCTGCACTAAAATACTATCTGCAACAAAATCTTGAATCAGAATTGTTCATTCAAAACATTTTTCTCGTATCGCTTCGTTACGGTGAGGTATCCGCATTGATGGAGCATATGCAAAAGTTGGACGCAAGTTTATCGTTTTGGCGTGCTACATTGTTGCAGACATGTCACTATCTGGAAACGCAGAATCTTCTCAACTCACTTTACCAGCTGCAGTTGTTGTTGCAAGATCCGGTACGTGCCGCCATGACTTGTGTGAGATTCTATTCCGCGAACTGTGACAACTTCCAGCAGCTGCAGGCGAATGCAATGCATTTGCATAATGCGCAACAACATTTACAATCTCAGCTGGAGTTAACCGAGTGGGATAAAGTGAGTCTGGAGCCCTTGCAGCGCAAAAGAAACAGTTCCATCGGCAGTCGACGCTCAAGTGTGGCGTCTAGGGCGAACACGCCGTCTATGCATTCAAACTTTTTAATGGAAATGGATGCGCGTGCACTGAACAGTCACATTAATACGATATCAATGCAATTAGAAGTGACAAAATTTCTGGCACATTGTGAGATAGAGATGAGCGTAGCAGACGAACCCATTACTTTGAAAACATTGAAACAGGTAATCAAGTAGAAGGTGAATGTATTTGAATTCCTAAAGCTAAATATCACTATTTCAGATTCGCGTTGATAGCACAGGCAAGTTCAAGCTGCCAACACTATTTGATGCACTTCCAGATCGAATACAAATTTGCATTCTAATTTTATTATGTGGCAAAAATATCGACGAGGGATTTGGTTTGACGTATAGGTGAGTGGTGGTGCTTAACGTTTAGTGCATCGCTTTTAACTCAATATTACTTTGACAGGATTATTCATTATTACAAATTGCCCGACGTAAAAGTTTTTGCAGCAGCTGCCAAATTTCTTGCCTGCAATCAGCGCATTGGCGAAGTGGAGAAGCTCATAAGCTGCATAACTAGCAACAATGGCATCAAAACTCGCGACATTGATGAAATTCTCTCGGCTGCCATCAATTCGGCATCCAATAGCAACGAGGCAGAAGTAAAAACTGCACTTGATAATCTCGCTAAAAAAATTCACAGTGTGGAATTGCGCATATCTTGTCACATATTCATTGGACAGTTGAAATCCGCTTATCTTTTAGCGAATAAGTATGAACGTATTGGAGATATACGGCGCATACTTCGGCAAGCCGAACTAACGAATCAGGTGCACATAAAGAAATTATGTGAAAGAAAGTTAAGTTTCAACGCCTCACCGCGCGAGTGATTTTAACCTTGACTGACTAGTAGAAGAAGTATATGCCCGCTTATGCGTATTTCTGTATTTTTAAAAGGAATTACTTGTTAGATATTTACATACATTATGTGATTTTATGCCCATCTCATTGTAAGTTTTACCCAATTTATACCTACATACATACATATAATATATTATCCAAAATAAAGTTGAAGAAATTTTATATGACCATATTCTAATTGTGCCATAATGTTAAGCGCAAGAAAATTGACGTTTATGATCTGATTATGGCAACTTAACGTAACTTACAGACTCTCACTTAAAAATTTTCTTCAATGGATGTTGCTTATAATTGAACAGCCGAAACTTAACGTAACTTAATGCCACGTCGAAATTCATTTTGATTTTCAAAGTTCTAAGTTCCGTTAAGTTGCCATAATCAGGCTTTTAGACGCAAGTGTTCTGTGATATGCGTTCACAATCCAGAGATATGTAAGGCATGTGAAAAAATAAAGTCGGAATTTTTATGCTCTCACCCCTAGGATTGTTCTATACCGAAAAAAGTATACCCCTATTTTTTATTTTAAAATCAAAATATATATAGCACTCAAAGTTTTCTATGTATTTTTAAATGGGAAAAAAGCAACTTTTCGTAGAAATGGTATAGAATACTTGAAAATAAATATTTTTCGATCGGAAAACTCTTGTTCGCTTCAATAATAGTACCCAATTATTTATTTAACCATTTTTTAATACTAACGATTTTTGCAGCGCTTTGAGCGACCTCTTGATATTTTGTGATAAAAAAATAGGGTTATACTTTTTTCGATATAGAACAATCCTAGGGGGTGAGAGCATTACAATTCCGACTTTACTGTTATTGGACCACCCTAATGCACATACGTATGCAAATCAGTAATGCTCATAGAGAGCTTTACTCTGTACGCGTCCATATAAAATCGCCGACGCTATTTTGAGCATCACTGCAGTGAATAGCCATTTAAATACCACACGATGTAGAGAACAAATGTGGCCCATCTCGTACCGCTATTCCGCTCTCGGTAAATTTGATAGAATCGCTGTTTGTATGACGTCACACTTGTGCAACTTGTTTACGTTTTTCTTGCAAAATTTCTTCTTGTATTCATGTTCGCGTTTTGATATTTCTCGCTCAAGTGCACCAGTGTGACGTCACACAAAAATTGTTCTCAAAAATCCTCTCTAATGGGTGCAATCTTGTATTCTATCATTCTTATATTTACCCAGCTACAGTATCTCTCCCGTAATTGCGCCAGACTTATGCGGTTTTCTCGAAACAGCTGAAGCGCTTCGTCTTCGATTCACGTTCGTAAGGTCTAACGTACGCTTGTGGTTGTTGTTGGTCAGCTGAAAAAGTTAAGTGACATTTTGTCGAGTTTTGACAATTTGTCTTTTGTTCATTCATGTAGTGTTTATTATTTCTTATAAAAGTGCAGCACATTATTCAGGGTGTCCTAGACCACCCGTCCACCCCCTATAAAATGAATTGAAAAACGCAAAAATCTTACCTACCAAATCAGGGACCGGAAAGTAATTTTCTTAAATTAGACATATGTATATGTTGTAACCACAGATTCGGATTCTGCGCATAAAAATACATAACTTTAGCCGGAAACTTTTTTTTGGAATGGACTCCCGGTTAAAACAATGGACTTCCGATCGGTTTAACTCACTTCCGGTCTAAACCGGAAGTCGGTAATACGTCTATAGAGCATCCTCGACTTGGGAATTCATAGTTGTTCGTATTTCAATAAGAACATTTTCACTCATCTCAGTTGAAGTTCGAAGACCATTTATAGGCCTATTTTGGGCTCGAATCGTCACATACGATATCGTATTACTGGTCACGTAAAAGCACATTTTTCGGATTATGGCATACGTGAACGTACTCTTTTTCCCATTCAGCTTATACTGCCCAACGTATCATGTAATTTTCTTTCGTATGGTTTTCGATCTGTGAACGGATGTTACGATTCGAGCCCTGCATTGGTAACAAAAATTTTGTTACCGGTAAATATAGCTCCTGCGAACTTTTAACCCGTTTTCGCATTGTGCGCATGGTAAATATTGTTATCATCTCATAAGCATTACCCGTGAAATATGCAACACCAGAATTTATACAAAACTTGAATTACTGAATATATTAAGAGGTTACCAAGTTACTTAGAATAGCTTTTACAAGAAGTGGTGACATTTATTGATAACAAAATTTCCCGCTAACAAAATGTTCGGTAACAAGCAGAATAGACCGAGAAAAAAGTTCCGAACAAAAATACGTATTTTTATCCTTAGACTCCGAATCTGTAGTAAAAACATATATGTATGTCTTCTTCTTATTTGGCACTGTAACAGCCCAAGCGATTTTGGCCCAGTTCAACAAAGCACGCCAGTCGTTTGTTTTCGGTGCCAACTGACGCCAATTGGAAATGCCAAGTGAAGCCAGTCTTTCTCCATCTGGTCTTTCCATCGCAGTGGGGGCCTCTTCCTTTGCTACCATCAGCGGGTTCCGAGTTGACTACTTTCACAGCTGGAGCGTCGGTGTCCATTCGAACGACGTGGCCAAGCCAGCGGCGCCGCTGTATTTTAATTATCTGCACTATGTTCATATCGTTGTAAAGCTCATACAGCTCATCGTTCCATCGTCTGCGGTACTCGCCGTCGCCAACGCGTAAAGGCCCGTAAATCTTCCGCAAAATCTTTCTCTCGAATACTCCAAGAGCCGCCTCATCGGATGTTGTCATTGTCCACGCTTCTGAGCCATATATTTACCAGCACGGGCATGATGAGTGACTTATAGAGTGTGGTTTTCGTACGTCGAGAGAGGACTTTACTCCTGAATTGCCTACTCAGTCCAAAGAAGCACTTGTTGGTAAGAGTGACTCTGCGTTGGATTCCCATGCTGACATTATTATCGGTGTTAATGCTGGTTCCCAAGTAAACGAAATTCTCTACTTTCTCGAAATAATAACTGTCAACAGTGACGTGGGTACCAAGGCGCGAATGTGCTGACTGTTTGTTTGATGACAGGAGATATTTCGTCTTGTCCTCGTTTACCACCAGACCCATTCGCTTTGCCTCCTTATCTATCTTGAAAAAGGCAGAAAAGACTTCGCGGTTCTTGTTATCGATGATGTCGATGTTATCGGCGCACGCCTGAAATTGCACGTTCTTATAGTAAATTGTTCTGATCTCTCGCGGGTCTTACCCAAGATTTGACGCATTGTGAATACCTGGTCTATGTTGGATTTGCCAGGTCTGAAGCCACACTGATAAGGTCCAATCAGTTCGTTGACGGTGGACTTCAGTCTTTCGCACAATACACTTGATAAGACCTTATAACCTACGCTTAGAAGGCTGATCCCGCGGTAGTTGGCGTGAATAGCGGGGTCGCATATTTTGATGCATACACCTTCTCAACTCCTCGCCGCCTCAGCTGGCAGGCTGTCAGCTCCAGCAGCTTTGTTGCTTTTCATCCGCGTTATTGCTATTCGTACCTATTCAAAGTCAGGCGGAGGAACATCGACTTCGTCATCATCATTCTCCACAACTTTCCAAGCTGCTACCATTCAATAGGGAGGAGAAATGTTCCCTCCATAATTTAGGTACGTTGTGAACATCGCAAACTAGGTTGCCATTGTTGTTCTTACAGGAGTACGCCCTGGTCTTGAAACCTTCCGTAAGTCGCCTAACTCTCTGGTAAAATTTTAGGGCATTCTTCCTGTCGGCCAGCATTTCAAGCTCTTCCTGACACTCCTCATCGTACCAGTTGTTCTTTCGGGCTCGCTGAAATCCGATTACTTCTTCTGCGGCGGTAATTAATGAGCGGAAAATGTGGTTCCACTGCTCGCACATGTCGGTTCGTTGAAGAGGGCTATCTGAGAGCAGAAGTGAGAGTCGAGTTACGAATGCATTGGCTGTCTGATGTGATTGCAGCTTTTCGACGTAAGGCTTTCCTTGCATATTTGGGCGCACATTTTTTTCTGCGCAAAGGCGGGTGCGTATCTTGGCTGCAACAAGATAGTGGTCCAAGTCGATGTTTGGCCCTCGGAGCGTACGTACGTCCAAAACGTTGGAAGCATGCCTTCCATCTATCACAACATGACCGATTTGATTTCTTATTTTTTCGATCTGGATACAGCCACATTGCTTGATGGCTCTTTTTATGCTTGGAGTACTGCATACTACCATGTTTCGGGCCCCGGCGAAGTCGATCAGTCTCAGTCCGTTGTCGGACGTTTCGTCGTAGAGGCTGAATTTTCCGACGGTGGTTCCAAAGATTCCTTCCTTGCCCACCCTGGCATTGAAGTCGCCAAGCACGAGTTTGATATCGCTCATAGAAGTGATCCTTGGATACCTCATTCTTCTCTTCCGTCGGGGCATGGGATCAGATGAGCGAGGTGTTGAAGAATTTCGCTTTGATGCGGATTATAGGTAGACACTCGTCCACCGGGGTGAACGATAGTACTCGGCGACGGAGTCTCTCTCCCACCACAAATCCAACACCGAATTTGCGCTCCTTTACATGGCAGCTGTAGTATACGTCGCAAGGCCCCAGACATTGCTTGCCTTGCCCCGTCCAACGCATTTCTTGGATGGCGGTGATGTCAGCTTTCGCTCTTACGAGGACATCAACCAGCCAGACAGAGGCACCTTCCCCATTAAGGGTCCGGACATTCCAGGTGCATGCCCTCAAATCTAGTCCTTTAATCGATTGCCGTGGTCGTCATCAAAAGGGGGGTTCTCATCCGAGGCTTTGTTTCTCTTTTTCATTGGAGCCTGTTTTTACGTGGCGGGTCCCAAACCCAGCGCACAACCCATTGTTGGGACGGGGGTGGTTTCATAACCGAATACACGTTTATAAAGCGGGCCGCTTGCTCCAAGACAGACACCCACTTGCAGCCGCACCTACTGGTGAACAGACGCTGCAGACTTCAGTGAGCCCTTAAACCGAATAAGTCGGAGTGGCCCCACCAAAGCTCCCTCTCTTTCTGCCGTGACCCAAGGCTCAACTCGGATTAGTTACCACATCTCGCACATGGCTGCTCACGTTACCCAGAGTGCGCGAACGAGGACGCAAGAGTCGGGATTGAGTACAGCCGTTCAACAGTAACTGCATACCCAGCACAACGACTATACCCTATTGCCCTCCACCATGTACACTGCCGGAATTTTTTTGTTGAAGGTGTTTTGCATTTTTTCCATATAAAGTATTTTCGAAAAAAAAAAAATTATGGAAGAGACTGCGTGAAAAAAAATTGCCAAAAACCAACGGTAATTCCTAGCTACTTAAAACTTACACTTTATTATAATAAAATTGATTGGGCTACAAATCTGCATACTCAAAAGTTCTAAAAAATCTGATTAAAAATTTGAAAATTTGCGAGTTTTTCACAAAGTTTAGAAATTATATTATTATGTTTTTCGTTGTAGAACGAACCTTATTTTTATACGAAATGAGCGGAAAAATATAAGAACGAAAATTGTTGCATATATTGTGAAAAATTTGCTGTGACAATACTTTGTATAGCAGTGTATATATAATTAAAAAAAAAATGGACTTTCGGTCGAAACCGGAAGTCGGTAATACCGCTAAAAGGCAGAACATCATTGATTTGGTAGGTAAAATTTTTGCGTTTTTCAATAAAACGAATATTTCCTTCCATTTTAGAGTGGGCGGTCTAGGACAAAGCTTCCTAAAGTAGGTCCGCGGAATCGAAGGGTTCCGTAGAAAAGTCACCAGGGTTCCGTGAAATGATGAAGTGTTAATTAACACAGGTCCACAAAAAAAATCGATGAAAGGTTCCTTTGACCAAACCTAGTATGTATCACGTCTAGATTTTTTTCGAACCTGAGAAAAACACCTCGGACTTTCTCTGTCACGTAAAATCCGAGATGTTTTTTGAGGTTCGGAAAAAATCTAGACGTGATGGAGCAAAACGGACTTCAGATTCGTGTTCAGCGACCCCAAAAACATGGCATAGACTAGGTTTGGTCAAAGGAACCTTTCATGGATTTTTTTTGTGGACCTGTGTTATTAAAGGTTTTGTTAGTAGCTTTTTTCAAAAATTTGACACTCCCACCCACAGGGATGGTTTATGGAAGCAGGAGAAAAAGGAGAAGGATTCAATTACACTTCCTAAAATGGGAGCTAAATTCCATAAAAAGGTGTTGATAATAGTGAATGGTGGTATTTTAAAACAAAAACGAATTTGATTTAATTATTTAATTTAAACAAGCTTATTTGCATCGAATATAACCCCCGATTTTTATTAAAAATAAATAATATAATAATAGATAGAATAAAAGAAGTATCACTGTTTTTGTTTTTAGGAGTAGCGTGGGAGTGTCATTGATAAAGTTAGAGCGAGAAAAAGTTTTTCTTACAAAACCTTTGATTATTGAATCATTTCATTCAGCCCATAACTCGAGTCCAGCGCCGCTCTTCATTTGAAACGATCGTTAAGTAGTGGTTGGTGGTGTGAGGGTGAGTTTCGTTTGTTTACGTGATGAGCGGGTAAACGCTAGTGAAAGACGCATATTTTCTTAGTATATGCATTCAACTAGTTTCAACTTAACAGCGACGCTAGACTCGAGTTAGTTCATCAGTTGATTCTTGCAGCTCTTTAATACACCAGATTTTAGCTTCAGGCGCTAAACGGTTAAGTATATGTATATCAAGCAAATTGATGGGCCTTTTACAAGTACTGCTAAAAGTCCTATTAGCAACCTAGAAATAATTTTGAATTCTTCCAGTGACAGCGAAGACTCGGATGTAGAATCTGGAGACATTAAAAAATTTGAAATTTAAGCTCAATTGAAGGTCTATGTTACAGAAAAACGAGCTTATCGCGGTGAAAATCCTCTCGATTGGTGAAAAACTAAACTAAAATACGACAAATTGACATATTTCGTCCGCAAATATTTGAGCGCTTGTTCTGTATACTAGCCTCTAAGAAATCGTCTCATGGGAGAAAAGGCAGGAAAATTACTTTCTTTGAAATATAATATGCCCCTTTTGCACTTTGACTACTAGATTGAAACACTGTATAGGTTGAGCACTCGTTTAATGTTCTAATAATTTAAAAAAATTCAAGTAATTAAAACGCTAACTTAAGTTGATTATAGGTTGTATAATGTAATTCCTAACATTCGCATTCGCATTCGGTACCCAAATTTACTGAGTTGCATACCCTTTAATTTTAAAGTCCTCGGGAGATCCTTTGAAGGACTATGAAACTGAACAATAATGCTCTCTAATCGGCTTCGGGGAGAGCGATTGTGTCCTTAGGGCAATTTAACGATTTTTTTTATATTTGTTATTTATTTAATTGAAATTGAAAAAGCATTAAAAACTTTAGTAACGAAAATTTTTGCACAATTCGCAGTCATTCCCAATAAAGAGCCGGTCTAAAAGGGCGAAGTGCATATCCGAACTCGTCGACCTGAATATGTTCTAGTAAAACGAATTTTATTCTTGTCTTTTTCGGAAAAAAATTTTTGTGGACTTATGGTAACTGAACATAACTAAATATTTCACAAAAATGATCCTAAGATAAGTATAATTAGAAATTTGTATGCTATAAATCCTTAATTATGATTAAGTTTCATGTTTTATTTAATTACTGAGTAGAAATACACTCAAAATAATTTTGATCGGTTTTACTATACAAATACTCTTCTGTGCGGCGGGCCGTTATGAAAATTACTACGAGACTAAAATGTATTCACAAAACCCTTCTCAACCTGTCAACCAGTTACTTTACGTATTTACAAAAGCGGGACGTTCCCGTAACAGCCCCGTAAACTTAGGAGTTTTACACAGTTTAAGACTACGAGTTTAAGGGAATCCTCGAATTGAAAATGTGCTGAGACAGGGCGTTTTTGAATCGGCGAACACTCTTATTAGTTGCTTTCCTTATCTCCAAGAAATAGTCAGATTTAGTCCGAAGAGCGTTTCTTAACTTGAAAATGACAGCAGAAATGAGGGAGCAACTGTTACTTTCTTCAGTCAGAAGTTACAAGACTTAAGGCTCTGTTATGCATACTTGGCAGCATGATAAAAATATAGCAAGGTAGAACCGTCGGCCATGATTTTTTTTTGAAGTTTGCCAACATTTTAAAATCATATAAAAGTGAAAATAAAAAAATGAAATTGTTCGAAATGTTGTTGCTTGAGATTGAAAATGAAAATGTGTGTGTGAGTTTGTGAGTAAAGTTAAAAATTAAATTATTTGGAAACGTCAAGAATTTTAAAAGGGACTCTCAGCGGTTCTACCTTACTATATTTTTATCATGCTTGGCAGTGCATGCACGGCTATAACATTTTTATGTAGAAATCAAAAACCAACAGACTTCTACGTATGTAATGCTGTGCGTTGGGTAACCGTTTACACACGAAGCTCATTTAACAGATTCCTTATTTGACAACTGTCAAGCAATGCCAAGTATGCATAACAGAGCCTTTAGTCCAGTGATTCCCAAAGTTGTCAAGGTGGACCCCCTGGGGTCCACGGGAGACTCGACGGGGGTCTACGTTGGCGTGGAAAAAATATGGGGGTCCACGCGTTGCATGTGGAGGTCCACGAACATTTTTCTGGTTTCGATAGTAAAGAACAAAAATGTTTGCTTGATAGTCTCTTTATTTACCTCTAATTTTTTTGAGTGGTGTATAGTGCTCTTGACCCACTGCTGCACTTACCGTCACTTTGTGTTTTCACACGTAGGAAGGCCTTAAAGGCCACCTGCATACTAAAAAGAACCGGATGTTGGTATAACACTGAGTGGGGCGCGACGGAAATTGCTGGCGGATAGTACGCCACCATTACCTTTGTTGAAGAGATCTGAGCCCGCACTCGCACATTGTCGATGATGGCTCCAAAACTGACTCTGGGTCATGATCTTGGGTATTTTTCGAAATTAATGGGGATAAGCTTTATTTTTTCCTTTGGGGAATATGTTTCGGTCTTCCAGGCTGAGGTAATTGCAAATCGTCAAAGTCATGGACTAGGAGAAGGACCATAGGTTGAGGGGAAGTAGTTTACGTATCTGCAGTGACAACCAAGCTGCACTTAAGGCATTGACCAGCCCTCTAACTACATCCAAACTAGTTGGGCAATGCATGTGTCGACTAAATTATGGTGGTAAACATAACAAGCTTGCTTTACTCTGGGTGCCAGGTCACTCAGGAATACCTGGTAATGAGACATCTGGCCATTTTCCCAATTTTAGCACACCCACTTTCGGCCATGGTGCAACCATCAGAAACTGGGTGGATACTTCGCTCGTCAATGACTGGAAGCCATCGAGTGGTTTTCGCCTCATTTTAAAACTCCGAGAGATCAAAATAAAAATGACGCCATCAACACAAATAAAATACTTATTCTGCAAATACTCCACGTACAAAGTCATGAGTGAGCCGAACATTTGATGATTTTATGGTGAAGATAATGTAAATAACGCTAGGGCTCGAAGTGCTTTTAAAAATATATAACTCCGCAAGCTACAATTTTGATGGATTAAAGAGCTCTATTTTTTAAAACCTGCAAGTGTGTAATCACATTATTTTAATAAATAGAAATAAAAAATAATAGAAAAAAAATATTTTAGTTTCATTTTGGCCACTCCGAGTTTAGTTTTTGAATTCACCCGCGATGCAAATTTACATAGTTAGATCTAACCTTCACATTTCATTTTTTACAAGCTTTGGGAATATTTAGAAATGTATCAGTAGATCATATTGAATATAAGCCGTAGATATGTGTACAGATATAAACATTTTTATGCAGCTCTTTCGAGCTGTGATTTATTAAATTTTGTTTACGCTAGTTAACATGTATGCATGTACATAAAATCGAAATGTATCGAGCCCTTACGTTTACATTTTTTTTGCGGTTAGGGCTAGGTATGTTTTTTAAGAAAAACTACACTAACCGCCAATTTCACGAAAGCAATTTAAGTGAAAAATGTTTTTAATTTTTTGATTTTTATGTGGAAATTTACAGAAAATTTCTATTTCATTTTCTATTTAAATTGTTGGTGAAACCGGCTGTAAATTATTATTTTTATAGAAGTAATTGTAAACATATGTTAATTGTAAAAAAGAACATATCTATAAAATTTCATATTAGATGTTTCAGTACTGGTTAATGGTTGGCAGTATTTAAAACGTTATACCAAAACTTGTTCATCCACAGCAGCTTCCACAAGGCATATCCATTGAAGTGTTATTGATGCGACCAATGCGACGATTTGGGCCGAATCCACCACCGCCACCTCCACTACCACCTCCGCCACCGCCACCGCCACCACCGCCTCCGCCTCCGCCTCCACCCCCACCGCTTCCGCCACCCCAACCGCTCCCTCGGCTATTGCCTCCACTGCTCCTATTGTTGTCCTTCATGAAAGGCGCCAAAAGTCCTCTGAAACTATTTAAAAAATCAGAAGAATCAATAATTTTCCAGACGAAGATTTGAACATAGTAATTAATATTAAATTCCTTACAAAGTAATCATCACGAACCACAGGCCTGTGAAGATCTCTAAAACTCGAGACACGCTCCAAGGGCGTCGTTCCAATACACGTCCATCTGTTGGTTAAAATAAATTTAATTTAATTTTTAGCTTGAATAAAATATGTACATACATATGGTTGTATGTGAACAAAACATTTGGCTAGAAATGATTAGATTAACAACGGTCATAAATGATAATCGTAAGCGGAAGGTTGTGTCTTTCCACAACGTTTAGTAAATTTAAAACGCAAAAATACTATATTTCTTCAATTATAAATATAAATATATTTTAGTAATTTGCACGAAGAAAATGTGTATTAAAATGGATGACCTTTATACTGAAATAAATATATTAAATCATATATTTTTAAAGTAAAAGGTCATTGTGAGTTTATAATAAAAAAAGGTAACATATTTTTAAAAACACTGACAAAGAATTAACAAATTAACTTAAAATTATTTCATTTCTACGCTCTATTCCAACAACTTCGGCATTCACAGGAAGTACTTTTTCAATCACTTAAAAGTCGTTTTTACTTATTCTTTTAAATAAAATACTATATATATTTGAAGTGTACTATATTTTGTCAATTTAGCTATAAGCTAAAAAATTACCTTCCCCCTTAAAATGACCCTTTTTTGACCTGAAACTAGTAGGCGAGAATGTTTTAAAACTTTTATAGGCGACATACACCATGCGTCTAACTCGTGAGTCGGTTTGGATGTGTTTGAGAAAATAAATATGTGTTAGTTACACCGACATGACTCTGAATGACTCAACTGTGTGTGGTCGAAAGGCGAGTCAACACGTACACAAATGACTCACGAGTCAGACGCACCGTGTATCGCGTCAAGGAATCCATTTCCGAAAAACGAGTTTAACTTTCTCTAATTCCATTTTATGCACGGTAGGCACGACTACACATACATACTTACACCCCGAATCGCGATCAGTCTCCCAAGGCATAAGAAGATACTTTAATGGAATCCAAAGCGAAATCAAGGTGATAACCGTCTTCATGAGCCGGAATGGAATATTGATAGCTGCGATCCAAGAGCAGAAGCTGCACAGCAATGCGATCGGGAGCGAAATAATGGTGGAAGTTTGGCATTAATCACGCAACACACAGTGCAAATTCCGCAAGTTTGTCAATGCTGATACAGCCCGTTTCATTCCTGTTGGATACATCGCGGAAACCTGCCCAAAATTCCCTGCCAAAGCGGCTGTTTTAGAGAACGAGTGCGATCGCCTGGTAGATCCTGGGAATCCCCGTATCGGGGATTAAAATGCGGGAATTCGGCAACTGGTAAACCAACACAATCGGAAAAAGTGGTAGGAGCACCTGAATACTTGCAATTTCAGCTCTGGTGTCAGCAAGCTTTGGTCAACCGTAAGATAACTGTCCAACCCAAGGCGAATTTATATAAGGTACTATCGATTCAATAAATACAACAATTACTTGTATTTTGGTTTTTCTTTTAGCGGGCCATTGTCAAGTTTCAGCTATTCTTCCCCAAAGGAATAAGGGCGACGGAAAATACAAACTCTCTCACGTTTTCCCTCACTCACAAACGAACTACAAAATTTTGACGATTGAACTCTACTCACAGCTGATGAAACAACATCACATCATATGAATTCGAATTCTTACGCAACGATATAGAGTTTCATTCAACCACCGCGCTTCTTCGCAACCGGAGCGATGTGCGAGCTATTTTAGCCGGCAATTCACGTGGCATCCTACGTTGGACAGAGCCAAGCGGGGACTGATCAGAAGTACACTGCCAAAACCAAGAGTGCCTCTTGTTTTCACCAGCGGTGATGTCCAGGTGGCCATCGGAAGGCAAAAGCGTGCAAACTAATCGTCCGCAGCGGATATTGCATGCTGATGCTCAAAAATGGGGTCCAGTCGGAGTAGGCTACCTCACCATGTCATGAGAATAACCTCATTCTTCCCGATGTGTAGAAGTCAGGGAGTGTGGTCCCACTGATAAAACCATGGAAACCTGCCAACAAAGGGGAGTCTTATCACCCGATAACTCCACCTTCCCCGGTAGCGAATACATTAGAGGCCTTATGTCCATGCATATTCTAATATTTTATTTAGCTTATAAATTTATTTGAATTAAATTAAAATAAACAGACTTACAACTTCAAGTGTGGAGCGAAAATCACAATTATCGCGAATCTATAATGATCTTAGCGAAATGGCCAACTCTAGGCAAGAAATCATCAATGCTTTAACATCAATGTGCTACCCAATCCAGTGCAGGTCCCCAGATTATACAACACATGGGTTTGAGGAGCATAAGGCTTCATTAAAATTAGTGTTACAGCGACTGTCAAGGCGAGTATTGAAACTGAATTTGGATAAATCAAAGTTTGGGTATGAAGAAGTGGATTGTTTGGGATATCAAGCGAGTCAAGCGGGAATCCGACCATACGGTTCCAACAGAAGTAATCGCAACTTCCCAATACTAACTAACCAAAAGCAGTTGCAGTCCTGCATCGGATTTTTTTCGTATTTTCGGCTCTTCTTGCCATCATTTTCCCAAATAGCCAAGCCCTTGCAAAACTTATTGAAGAAACAGACCACCTTTGACTTTATTGACGTGTGTCTTAATGCTTTTAACTCTCTAGCAATGACCCTCGATAGAAAGCAAATAAATCCTAGAATAGCTAGGTGGGCTCTGGAGCTGGAAAATTATAACTTAAAGATGGAACACAGGAAAGTATCGTCCATGGGCCATGAAGACGCATAGAGTAGAGCACTCATCGCGCTAGTAGTTATTTTGATACTATTAGTTCCATACGAAACCGTCTGGAGACTGGATTTATTAAAGACTTTGACTTGATGGATGGCTTGGTCTATGAATGTAGGTCGGATGGCAGGACGGTGCTATATGTGCCCGGTGAGATGGAGTCCATCGAAATACGACTGAGACTCGAAAAGATTGGCCACCAATCTGTTAACAAGACCGTTAGTAAACTAGGTTACTGGTTTCCAAACATGAGAGCGAAGGCGACGCCCCCTAAGGCAAGGGAAAGGAATCTGTATATTAACCCTAAGACCCCACTGCCGTTCGACATCCTCCGCATTGACCACTTCGGTCCACTACCGTCGCTCAACACAAAGAGGAAACATATTATTGTTGTGATTGATGCTTTCCTGACTCAAGGACTTTCGAAACTACACAAAAAAAAATAAATAAAGAAATGCTAAAGTAAAATTTATTAAGCCAATTTTTTTTTAAATATTGCGTTTCTACTACGGTTTTGTAAAGTTTTTGTGAACAAAGAGCACAAGGCAATATATGTTTTCAACAGAAATATATGCCAATTGACAATTGACAGACTTTCTAAACAAGAACAATGAACAAAGTGATGGTGGTGAGTTATTTAGTGAAAGTGATACAGAAAACACAGAAGAGAAACGACTGGCCTGCTTGGTTGAACTCGGCCCAAATTGCTTAGGCGGTTATAGAGCCAAAAAGAGGAAGCGAAGAACAGAATATGAACCTGAAGAAGATAATTTTAGTGCTGCACTCACCGAGTCTTCTGAAAGCGACAGTCATGAAATATCAAAGGAGGAGGAATCTGCTGATTTGTTGATATCAAAAGATGGGACGTCTTAGGGTACAGCACTCCTAATTGAAGGTAAAGCATTCGTAATTATTTTCTATTTGAATTGTTCACATCCAGAAGTATACTTGTGCGTATATAGCTGGAAGAGCATGGAGTTGCAACGTGAGCCAACGACCAGGAGTTACAAGATATGCAGGTGCTCATGTGGATTCAATAAAGGACAAATTTGTACTGTTAATTCTTGCTCCAATTAAAAATACAATTTGGAAGAACACGAACGCTTAAAGCAAATATCTATTTGGTCAAAACCACCGACCTGTTGCATGCTTATTTGGGGTTTGCTTTTCGTGGGAGATTATAGGTATGATATGTTTAACCATTATATTTCAAAAAAATGATTCTTGAAGACCTTCTCTGTTCATCTTATGAAAGACCATTATTTCAATCTTTAATGTTTAAGACAATTCTGTAACTATGAAAATTTTACGAAATACGCAAGTTGTGGATAAGTGGGTGGAGCTGCCGTCAATGCCTAGCGGGTGCATTATTATCGGTAGGTATGGAACATGCAACCGAACTTGGGCAAACTACAGGGAAACCAAACCGAGAAAAATAGAGTACAACGCGTAGTACCTCATCTTATAACCGTTTTGAAAGGCCGTAATGTGACTATCGAAAATTTGTTTACCTCTTTCGAGCTTGGCCATAAACTTCCTGAAAAAAATAAACAACAGTAGGGAAAAATACGTAAGAAACATCTTAGTATTCCCGCAAAACTTTTGGAATGCAAAAAGCTTCCCGTTTATACATCGAATTTCGCTTTCACGCAAAATACTACGTAAGGTTGCAGACAGAGTGGAAGCGAAGACGAAGACGAAAAACAGTAAAGTAGTAAACATATGAAAGTAATTACAGTGCAAGCAAAAACGAATATGAAGACGTTGCCAGCCTAATCTCTTTTTCTCGGCCCTTGCCCCAAGTGCTGCCGGCTAGCGATTTGACGACGTGGTTGCAACTCTATATTTAATTGGAAATTACGGTTGTGTGTGCCGAGAACAAGTGGGCAGGCTACATGCTACCAAATGTTTCCAGTAAAGAAGTACAACATCATGCTCAGCAAGCAGTTCCTAGTAGAGTGCTAAGCACGTGGTCACTCAAATAGGCACATGCTTGAGGCGGAGTCTGCACCCAGGAATATCAGAAGATATCTCTACGAAATCAAGGACGAGGGCCAATAATACGTACAACAACATTGTAGCCAACTCATTTTTGAGAATTCCCCGATTTTACCAGAAATTTCGTAAAATTCCTCAACCATAGATATCTCCTGCCATATCTGGTATTTCGGTTTATTTTATTTTTAAATATGTATAATTCATCTATGTATTCATAAACCAAACCAAACTTTTGTTAAGTTTGTTAACAAATAAAGAATAAAAAATGTACATATAAAATTTACATACATACAGCGGTCGAAAAAAATTTAGTCGCACCAAATTTTGACAAGTTTTTTTTTGTTATGTAATTTGAGTTACTCTTATAAAAATATAGTTCACTCTTTATCAAAAACCGTTTAAATCCAAGTTTCAAACTTTGCGC